TTTGAATGATTTGCTCGAGCTGTTGTGGTGTGACTGAAGTTTCCATTGTCAATTGTATTGTTAATGTCTAGTCTAACCCTTTTCATTTAATACTTTACTATTACTGGTGACTTTCTTTACTATTCTTTCTAATTCACATTTTTTTTATTATTTTTTATTTCTTTTACTATTACAAGTAGTTTTCTATTATTCCTATTAATAAAAATAATAATATAAATAATTCTATTAAATAACTTTCTTTTATTATTCGAATAATAAATTGATGAAAAACCATTGACTTTCAAGGTGAACTCTCTCTGGCCTGTATAATATCACCACATCGATAATGAACGTTTAATTTGTTTTTTTCGTTGGTGATAAGTTTATTCATAACAAACAATTATATTTTTTGTTAAAAAAAGTTATTTAAACAAAGTATTAACTTTTATTATAATTACTTCTATTAATTAAAATATCCCCAACAATTAAAAAAAATTTAATGAAATAACATCTTCTTTTTTTGGAAAAAAAACTCAACTAAAACAAAAGATAAAAAACATCTCTTTAACAATCAAAGATGTCAAAGTTAAGCACCATCCCAGACTTCACAAATTACCAATTTCCAATTGGCCTGAGTCACCAATCATTGGATCAGCACATAGTAAACAATGAAGGATATTCCGCTTTATTGGCATATGTTTATAGCTATTCCTTTCAAAAGAACAAACATAAAACAGTCACCTACAAAGTGTTAAATTGTTTTTTTGGATACAGTCCACAATACACCTCCGCTCTGTTTGTTTCTTTTCACTTTATAAATCAAATCCAAATTAAAGTGACACAAAGTGTGACACGACTCGCTAACAAACAAGTTGAACCCGTTTCGGAAGTTTTTCGATGGAAGTATCCCCTTCCTGGTGATGGCGACTTTTCGTATGTGTGTTGTAACGAAAAAGATACTGAAGATGTCAATGTGAGCGATTGGGTGTTGATGACTAATATGCACCCCACAAAGAGTTACGATGGGCGATATATCCTTCGCATGACTTCTTCGTCTCTCATCAAAAAACTGCCATCAAGGCATCCAGCAATAATCGATCGGATATGTTTTCTCGCAAAAAACCTTCCCAAAGATGTCGTCGTCTCCTTTGTGGAACGTTCAAAGAGACTATATCCATTTGATGAAGAGGTTGAGGAGTGTATAACACGACTTAATACAATGATTGATAACAAAAACATTCGAAGTGCAAAAACAATACAACACTGGGAATGTAATCACAAAATTAACCAAAAGATCGAGATGGAGTCGACCACTGGAGATGCAGACCAAAAGCGCATTGATTTGAATTCTAAAACAAAAGAGAGTGATTCAAAAAATGATGGGCCACAAGTAGACTCTAATATATTATTAGAAGAGGAGCCGTCACCTTGGTTTTCTGCATTCCAAACACAAGCCGAGCCAAGAACAATCATGACCCCTTTTATGGATGTGGTGTATGCGTCCCAACCTATTATCACGATATCTAACTTTCTCGCATTTAACAAAAATGACATTAGGCGGTTGCATGTTATCAAGTTGAAGGGGATCTTTGTCTGCTTTTATCCACAAAATGTTGAATCAGTGATAACATACCAGTGCGGATGCCTTTTCCAGAAAAAAAGCAAATACGACGTTGTTTGTAACGTTTGCAGACAGCGCGTTTCACTCCATATGGCGTTGCAGATAAACGTTAAAGATGTCGAAACCAGCCAGACCATGATCGTCGAAGTGACACATGAAACACTTTCGTCATTCACATGGTATTCGCACGATCCGCTCTCTATGGTTGTAAAAATGTATCAATCCTTTGCTGTCCCAACTCCTCTCATTCTTTACACGCGAGTGTTTCTCGACGAAATCACTGGACTTGTTCATTTGTATATTTGATGTGTAATTTGAGTGTTTGATCTAATATGAAGTTGTCGTTTTTCCAGTTTTCCGTTTCACGAAAAAAAGAAAATTGAAAAGGGTTAGGGTGTCGCTGTTAAGTCAGTTCATTTATGTCCATCACACCTAAGACCCCACAACAAAAGTCAAAATTCACACCAACGCCTCCACTCCTTTCGCGTCCGACTGTTGCACAGGAGAAGATACTCAGAAAGTTCACATCAGACCAAAGAGAAGGAAGGACAGTATGTACAGAGCCCCTTTACATACCTAAGGAGTCTGAAAGGAAAAACAGAGACTCAAAGATTCTCAAATTACTCTCAAAAGACAACAAAAACATCGAGCAAACAACCAAAGTGAGTTCTTCCGATTTTGACTTTGTTGAAGTGTTGCAGCAAGAACCAAAACAGTCGCAACAACCACGCACTGAAAAAACAGACTACGCAGCTAACACCGATTTTGTGAATAAAGTTCTCCATATTGAAGGGATACTCCGAGGACTTTCAGATGACCAGAAACAAGTGATTGACTTAGCCAATAGTGGGGTTTCATTTTTCTTTTCTGGTGCGGCGGGAACTGGGAAATCTTATGTGATGAAAAAGATGATTTCTATTCTTCGACAAACACATGAGTTGGGTGTTTATGTCACGGCGTCAACGGGGATTGCTGCTTGTAACATTGGAGGAACGACTTTGCATAGTTTTGCTGGAATAGGTCTGGGTGATTTAAGTGGTGACCAACTCCTTACCAAAGTGATTAAAAACTCGCAGGCTTTTGATCGGTGGAAGAAAGCAGAAGTTATTCTTATTGATGAAATTTCGATGATTTCTGGGGAGTTACTGGAGAAGCTTGATTACGTCGCCAAAAACATTAAGAGGAACCAACAGCCTTTTGGCGGGATCCAAATGATATTCTCTGGAGACTTCTTTCAACTCCCACCCGTTTCTAAAAACCAGAACATTAAATTTGTTTTCGAGGTAGCGGCGTGGAAGAACGCCGTGAAGGAATGTGTCATCTTGCACACACAACACAGACAAAATGATCTTGAATTTATTGACATTCTCAACAACATTCGATATGGGTATTTTACAAAGAAGGCACAAGAAGTCCTCCAGACTTGTCAAAAGAAAAACTTGGGTTCCGAAAAGCGAACATGCCTTTACTCACACCGAGCAGATGCCGACACGATGAATAGAAGAGAGTTGGATAAGTTGAAAGAAGAGACGACAACGTTTGAGTGTCTAGACAATGGGATAGAGACGTCCAAGAAATCACTCAAAGATTGCCAAGCACCAGACAAATTAGTTTTGAAGAAAGGGGCCGTAGTTATGCTTCTGAAGAACATCGCTGCTGATTTAGGGCTCGTTAATGGCGCGGTGGGCACAGTCATTGGGTTTGAACCAATGAAAGAAATCAAACTGAAGGAATTGAAAGAAAATGAGAAGTCACAGTTTTGTGACATACGTGTGACGGAGAGAAGTTTTTATGCACACAACAAAGTGTTTCCACTCGTTCAATTTGAAAAAACAAAATACCTTGTCATACCCGATGTGTGGGAAATTGAAATTGGTGGGATAGTCATGGCGTGCCGAGTTCAACTCCCATTGGCTTATGCGTGGGCACTTAGTATTCACAAGTCACAAGGTCTTACTCTTCCCCGCGCTGAGGTCAACTTAGAAAAGGTTTTTGAATCTGGGCAGGCGTATGTCGCATTGAGTAGGTTACAATCTTTGGATGGCTTGAAAATAGTTGGCAACCTTCCAGGCCAATCCGCTTGGAGAGTGAACCCCAAGGTACTTCAGTTTTACAAGGAGCACGATAAATGTTTCAAAGAAGTCGACCCAAGCGAGTTGGTTTACAAACCTTCACAATCCCAACTTTCCCAAACAACCCAATCTTCGCAACCAAAGAGAACAGCTTCTGGGAAGACCATTATTGTCACAAAAAGTGGTCAAAGAATCATTATTGGATAACGCATACATTAACTAATAAAGCCGATTGATTGTATTTATGTTTTCTTTATAAAAAAAGACTTTTCATGTTTTAAGTTACTCTTGAAAATCATAAGCACGATATTTTTAGAGTAAAGTACAAAAATGGATTATTTTGAGAATTCAAAGACGCTGGTGGGTGGTT